AAGAATAAAGAGAACAAACTCTAGATGCATAGATGCTTTGAAATATCTGGATTTGTTCATGGTTTAATACTTTTATTTCTTTAAGCTATCAATAATATGATGCCTTCTATTAATAATTTCATACATTAGTGTATTTATGCATCTAATAAGCTTAGTACAGAAGGTGGTAAAAGTGAATGCAAATTTGTTCAGCAACTTATGTGGCAGTTGTCTGCAGCAGATGGGTTTTTACTCTCAAGACATGAAAACCATTATCCCCTTGTGCTAGTGAATATGCACATATTTGAAACATGCTATAAATTTGCAGCAGTGTACATGTTTATTCTTAAAAATTTCATATGCATGGTTTTGACAAGAATAAAGAGAACAAACTCTGGATGCATAGATGCTTTGAAATATCTGGATTGTTTTGTTTATGGTTTAATGCTTTCATTTCTTTAAACTATGAATATGGTACCTTCTATTATTAATAATTCCATACTTTAGTGTATTTATGCATCTAATAAGCTTAGTACAGAAGGTGGTAAAAGTGAATGCAAATTTGTTCAGCAACTTCTGTGGCAGTTGTCTGCAGCAGATGAGTTTTTACTCTCAAGACATGAAAATCATGAGGTTCGAACATCAATAGGTAAACCCCTCCTCGGCCTTATCCATCATATGTTTGCAGTATAATTGCTAGGCAATTTAAATGATTGCAGGAAATAATTTAAAGTTTCTATATACTGTTAAGGAACAAAAACTCATTGAGTGAACCGATTCAAGTTTTCTTGGATTAGTTGGTGTCTAAGGCAAGGTTTAAGGGTTGCGTAACGCGCTCTGCAAGGAACGAGGTACTTAATTGATCTTTGATCAACCTCTATTACTATCCTTACCTGGCTAACTACCCGGGTAAAACTTTAATCTTTTCACTTTAGGAGTTTTTGGAATAAGAGGACCGGAATTATGAGAATAATTCATATGCATTTATTTAATTACGCTTCTTGCATCATATATTGCCTAATGATAAATGATCAATATATGAGCGAACCAAATCAAAGAGGTGCATCTTTTAAAATTCTATTTTATATGGTGAATTATATTATTCAAATGTAAAGTTCATCATTTTTATTGCATTTTGATGAATATTGCAATAAATGCTCATATATCTTTTTAGATAACTTGCATTTTTTACATGATTAATTACAAGGTTTTATGCAAGAATGCACTTGTAAAATTTAAAGCACGTATGTACAAATATTATTATTATTATTATTTGTATAAGAGGTGGTACTAGAAAATGGCAACATAAATTTGGAAGGTCTCCTTTGTAGACAACCAATTTAAATTTGGAAGGTCTCATTTGTAGGCAACCGATTTAAATTTGGACGGTCTCCTTTGTAGGCAACCAATTTGTAACCTCTTATAATAGAAGAATTTTAAAAATTTTATGCATTTGAATTATGAAGTATGAAATGTATTTTAAGATACGAAAATATATTTTAAGATACGAAATCCTATTATGCTCTGCATGTATCTATTATTAATTTCATTCATGTATGTGCATATGCATAACTGCAGAATTTTTAGTTCCACATTAGTTTGAAATGTTCAGATATTAAGGTCAATCTCTTCAGACATAGACTATGATCTTTTATGATCATAGATCATGACCTAATGTCAATTTCAAACAATATGATGGACTAATTACAAAATAAGAACTTGATAAATAAATACAACGCCTGCTAGGCAAAGTTATGATTCTAGACTTTGTAAAGTCTGTGAAAAGAATCTTGATGACCCTTTGACTAAGGGATTATCCAGGAGTGTGGTTCTGGATTCATCGAGGGAGATGGGGTTAAGCCCATAGATGAGGTCACTGACAGCGGCAACCCAACCCTTATTTGGAGACGTAGTCCCAATGTCGGTTCAATGTGGTAGAAACAAGCTGGACAAGTGACTCTCGTGTGGAGCATCGACCTAGATATATTTATATATCATTATGTAGCATTTGCTACTACCCCTTCTCTATGGTGACGATGCTCTTATGATACAGCTGGCTAGGCTGAGTTTTACTCTTAATAAGTCCAACGCGTGTATTGTGGGGGGTATTAAATAAACAGCTGTAGTACCCTTTGAGGACTTACCTACGTGAGAGGAACCGTGATGGCCGCGGTTAGGGGGGGCTGGGCTAACCCCTAGAAACTCTCATGAGTCGGTTTATTGTGAGCATGGTCTTTAACGCTCAACCCGCTTTGCTCAATAGATGAAGCGTATTGTGTGTGTTTTCATCAATACCTGATTAAAGGGGCCTAATTCAAGGCCTAGTCCATTATGTCCCTCAGGTGGCGATGAACTCACTAAGGAAAGGTTCAAAGCCGAAAGCTACCTCTCCCGAATTCACGATACGAAAGGTTGCCCAACCTATATTTGTTTTATGATTTCTTGATTTATTTATTGATTTCTGAGTCTTCAGTCAATATTGCCTTTTGGGGGGGACTGTTAGATATTTTGTTAACAAAAGGCAATTTTGCCTTCATGAATTATAATAAATATTGTAATTAAAACATGCAATTAAAATATGTGTAACGGATATATAATTATGGGGAACGTTACAAAATTTATGACGAACGTTACAGAATTAATTACGGGTTTTGTAACGTCTTTTCCAACCCTATATATATATCCATATGTTGAGCTCAAAATAATAAGGAAAATATACAACAAGTTTCTCTTGTTTTTCTTCTCTCCCCTACATATTATTTTCATCTACATTTTAGTTTTATTTTATGGGCAACTTCCTTCATCTGAGCTGAAGCTCTGCACTCTCGCCCGAGTGTGGAGGCCGGCCGTTTTCGGGTTTACCGCTACGCTAGGGGGAGGGACAAATGCCCCCCTCTGACCCCCCAAGCGCCTTCGGAACGGAATTTTCATCGCCAAAAGTCTAATTAGGGACCCTCAATGCACAAACGGTTATTTAGCGACGGAATTTTTTTTTCCATCGCTAAAATTTATAACGACGGAATTTAGACCTTTAGCGATGGATTTGTCCGTCACCAAAAGGTGTAAATCCAGTAGTGTAAGTCAAAGTAGATCATCCAAGGCTAAAAGGAAGCAAATGGACTCGTGCGGAACGACGAAATGCGCGAAATGACGGAACAAGACAAAATCAGAAATTCCTAGTCACCTCAAAGTGACTCGGAACAGTGCCAAGTCCCGCTAAGGTGACTCGCACATTCAGCCTCCCGACGACGTGTTTTTTGATGTTTTCTTGGGATTCGTTCGATCTACTGCCTTCCTAACTGTCTTGGGATCATCCCTAAATGTGGTTAAACCGTTATTAACTGAATATAAGGTCAAATCACGAATTCTTATCCGAAAACACGGCGTCTAAAGCCTATAAATACACTCATAGGGCCCTTATGCACTGATGATTTGAAATTTAGAGCTTGGAGGTGAGGTGCTGACGTTGTGAGAGCAAAACCCACGAATTTCAGAGGGAGGCTAGCGAGATCTTGGCAAACTTCAGCATAAAGAGGAAGATTTCGGGAGATCTGAAGCCCTTTTTCATCCTTCCCTTGAGATCATATTTTGTTTTGATCTTGAGAAGAGTAGTAATCTCACTTGGTTGAGATTATTTACTTCAGTTCTAAGTTTCATCGATTGAGACTAAGAACACTACGCCTTCTTTCAGATCAACCCGGATCTATTAATTGGTCGTTCACGGACTAACATGTCCCCGGTACAGGCAAAGTTCTCACGCAAGCAGCAGATCGATAAACGATCTCTGCGTGTGTTTCTAGGAGATCTCATCTGTTTATTTTCGTTGTAACGAGAGATCTTATAAGAAGATCAACTCTCTTGAATCTGTAATTGATTAACAATTGTAATGGATTCAAGAATGAAAAAGATTTCCGACGCAAACAATTTGTACCTATGCGAGGAGGAATCTATTAAGCATCTTTCCTTTGCTTGTAGCTTCTCCTCTTCTATTTAGAGTCTGGTGATGTTATTGAATGGTTATTCTCATTTCAGCCTCCTACGGTCTGATGTTCTTAACTACTGCTAGCTATTCTAGATTGCATGGTATGTCTGTTCGAAGGAAAGTTATGAAGGGCTCTATTGTCGTGCACATTTATTGTTATAGGTTGTCTTAAATACTCAAATCCATATTACTTTGGGAGTTCTTTTTTAGGTTGGTTTGTTTTGATCAAGAGTCCTACTTACATTAGACTTTGCACAATCAATCATATTAGAGATTTATTTCTACTTGGACTATTGTTGGGTTTTAGGACATGTGAGTTTTTATTCCTATTTGAACTCTTATTCCTTAGACAGTAAGGAGTTGGGATCTTCAAGGCTATATAAGAGCAGTCTTTTAAGCCAATAATTAATCATCAATTTTCAGAGCACCAATCAAGAAAAGAGTTCTTTTATGAAGCCTATTTGATATTCTTCTCTTTTTTTCCTTTTATTTAGAGAGATTGTACGGGAATTTTGGGGTGTTATTTAGGATTGAGAGATTCCAGTTTGTATTCCTCACAATTAGTTAAGTTTTTCTCCTCCTTCGCTCGTGGACGTAGGCCCTCTAAGCCTAACTACGTATATCTTTGTGTTCGTGTGTTCTTGATTTTTTTTTTGTGCTCTCGTGTGATTATTGATATTAGCTTATCCCGAGGAATTTGTCATAACATTTATCATTCATAATTGAAAGCAATAGTAGGATTTTCGCTCACAAATCTTCCAGCGAGTGCAGATTGATTCATAATATCAAGCGTGAGGTGTTTGCTCGTGCCTTCAAACCCAAGATTGCTATGCACTCAATTTTGTATCTTTTTTAGATGAGTCGTACGTAATTAATTGTATCTTGTGCATCGCTCAGTTTTCTTCCTGGGTTATCTAGACTCTGTACATCAGTGCTCATTGGCAATGAAATTTTTTGCTTATCAAAAAATAAAAATTTAATTAATTAAGGAAATTAAGCGAGAAGAATATATAATTAGAAGATTTAGCAGCAAGACATGGAACAATAAAACAAAAACTCCATTTTATTTGGTAATATTAATCAATATTACAAGAGGAGATTGAGCTGGAGTATATATATATGCACGATCTTCATCATCATCATCATCAATCATCGTTCATTATTAACTCTTATCAAATGTTCGTTCACAATATATATAGGAGATCAACGGGGGAGTGGACGGAGGGCAGCATCCTTAACAACGAATCCCTTCTTCACGCAGTCTGAGGTGTCAACGACGGAGAAAGTGATGTCGCCGCTCTCAACGGCCTCAAAGTAACCGAGCACCATCATCACAAACTCATCCGTTGGGAATTTGGTCAGGTCCACCTCGCGTTTTTGTGTGGTTCCGTCGGGTAGGTTAAGCTCTACGTTCAGAGGGCAGGAATCCCACCCTTCGTTACCGTCAGTCTTCATGCACAGTAGCACCGCCTGATACTTGAGACCCGGTGTCAGTTTGGACATCTTGAAGTCTCCACGGATCTCCACGTGCGTCGCCCCCATCAGTTTCGGTGCCTCCATCCCCAATCTACCGATGCTGTAGTGTGGTTAATTTATCATATGCATGAAAATTGAATTAATTGGTACCATCTAAAATTTATAATGAATAGCATATATAATGTACGTATACACGCATGTATGAATTCAGAAACATATACTTGCCTTCCGAAGACCAGGGAGTGCCAGACCCAGGATTTACCGTCATCAACATTAGTAATGTCGAGCTCTCTCGGGTATTTAAGCATGCCCCTATCGCCGTTCCTCTCCTCCATCCATGTGTTCTGTACGGTTGATTACTAATTAATTTGAGAACATATATATATATAATGAGCTTAGACATAGCGATTGAAGGATACACGCATGCATGCATGTATCTTTTGATGTAGACAAGTACGTAGCTAAACAATTAATTATTATTTACTTGCCTCTGTGTACACCTTTGGTAGCTCCTTGGCAACAGTAGCCATCTCTTGATATTAAGTGTTTGAAGGGTAGTTTCTTATGTAAGTGTTTCTTTTTGTTTTTTTTCTTCAGAGGATGTAATACATGGTGAATCCCTCGGGGGATGCATTTATAGAGGTTTCAAAGATCGAGCTCCTCCACCTACTCACTTTTAGGAAACAAGCCGCCCGCTTGGAATCAACGGTGCTCCACGTAGATTTGGAAAGTTTTTCCAAACTACATATGATTTTTTTGAAATTCAAAATTAAAAGGGTCGAGTCAAAATTATAAGGGTTTTATTTATTATTGTTTAGAGCGTCAATTTCAAACTGGGACAACTTTAGTAAAACACGTACGCAAGTGTGGTCTCATCAACTTGACAAAGAAGCGCATAAATTGGTAGGTGAAGTCGTACGTGAAATCAATAATATGTTAATTAATTCTTTTCAACTCCGTGGCTGCCACTTTGCTTCATAATTAATTCTCGTGCTTCATTATTCCGGAATTAACCAAGTAAAAAAATGGACAATAATAGTGATCTCTCGCATCTCATTCTTTACTATCCCCCCAAAAGGAGTAATTAATTGCCACATGCATATATATTACCCAAGAACGTAGCGGACCCGCTGGCTTATCCCCGGCCGGCTGCTGAAGAAAATTCGTACGTCTTAGATATATATATATATTAGGTCGGCAGCAACTTAAAAACTCAGACCTTTTCGATATATAATATTTTAAGAAATACTTTGTAGACCGAATATGTATTAGTATCCCAAGTGCATGTACCATTAATTTACTGAGGGAAAGCAAACACAAATGTCTCTTAATTTATTGGAAACTAGTTGCAGATTAACTCGTTTATTGTAACTTATTATGATATAGTGCGGAAGCAAAACCGTTGAATCTATTGAGAGGCATTTTACGAATCGATGCAGAATAGTTTTTTTTTTTAATCCGTGAAGAAATTTTAAATCCACGAAAAAGGCAATAATTATTCGAGGGTTTAAAATCCTCAAAACATAGTAAGACTCCAAACAGGATTGGAATTACTGAAAATAGAAAGTATTAAAACTAAACTAAAAACTCCCTATGATAAGATTGGAGACTAATTGATCAAATCTAACATCATTCATTTGCTAATTAAAATAAAAAAGACTTGTTAAAGTAAGAGAGAGAGAATCTTGGGTAAATTTCCCTTGAATTGAATATTGAGTATGCACATATATTTATACAAGTAGAGAAGTGACAGGTTTGTTCTCCCAAGCAATGTGGGACTAAAACCCACTACAATACACTATTATCAACAGCCCCCTTCAAACTCATGTTGGATCAAACAAAGTGAGTTTGCGTACAAGAAACTGGAACCGATGAACAGGTAAGTCCTTCGTAAAGAAATCTGCAAGCTCGTCAGCGGATGAAACATGAGGAAGTAGAATTGTCTTGTCCTTGATAACTTGGTGACGGACAAAATGAGCGTCGATCTCAATATGTTTGGTCCTTTCATGAAATACTGGATTATTAGCAATCTGGATGGCACTCTTATTATCACAGTAGAGAGGAGTAGGAGTCGTAACAGAAATGCTGAAATCACTGAGAAGGCGACGAGGATGAATAATCTCTTTAGCTGTTGTGGACATTGCACGATACTCTGCCTCAGTGCTGAAAAGAGCAACAACATCTTGTTTTTTACTCCGCCAGGAAATAAGGGAATCACCAAGAAATATACAATAACATGTGGTAGACTTTCTGGTAGTTGGATCACCAGCCCAATCAGCATCAGAATATGTACAAAGCTCTAACTTAGATGTAGCAGGAAACAAAAGAGAGCGAGTGCTAGTACCCCGGAGGTACCGAAGAATCCGTAATAAGACAGCATAGTGTACAGAACGTGGAGCACTAACAAATTGACTGACAATACCAACAACATGAGAGATATCTGGTTGAGAGATGCACAAATAGACCAACTGGCCAACAAGATGTCGATATCGGGTAGGATCAGATAGAGGTTCACCATCAATAGAGCAAAGTTTGACATTCTGCTGGAGTGGAGTATCGACAGTTGCATTATCAGTTAGCTCAGCTCGATTTAGAATATCTGAGAGATACTTCTGTTGAGACGGTAATACACCCCGCGGGCCTTGAGAAATTTCTAGACCAAGAAAATACCGAAGAGATCCAAGATCCTTCATGTGGAACTGTTGTTGCAACTGAGATTTTGCGTATTGTATACATGCCATATCATCACCTGTAATGATCATATCATCTACATAGATGAGGAATAAAACTCTGCTGCGCGATGTAGTGCGAACAAACAGAGAAGCATCTTGATGACTTTCTATAAAGCCCGCTTTGAGCACGACATCGCGAAAACACTCAAACCAAGCGCGGGGTGCCTGCTTGAGACCATAAACAGCACGGCGAAGGAGACATACATGTCCCGGAGGAATATTTAACCCTGGAGGCGGTTGCATATATACGGTCTCTGATAAAGAGCCATGAAGAAAAGCATTTTTGACATCCATCTGGTATAAGGGCCAACGATGAGCAGCAGCGACCGCAAGAAGAGTACGAACAGTGGGCATCTGAGCAACAGGAGCAAATGTTTCCTCATAATCAATACATTGTTGCTGAGTAAAACCTCGAGCCACTAAACGAGCTTTTCGACGTTCAATGGTGCCATCAGGACGAAACTTAACCTTATAAACTCATTTACTGCCAACAAGAGAGATCCCAGGAAGACAGGGAACAACATCCCAGGTATGAGTTTGCTGAAAGGCTTGAAATTCCTCAGCCATAGCCTGTCGCCACTCTGGAATTTAAACTGCCTCTTGGAAGGACTTTGGCTCAACAATAGTATGAATGGCAGCAAGAAAATTATGAAAGATAGGTGAATAAGAAGTAACAGAAGCATACCGGGCAGGCATGACATGTGGACGTTTGCCTCGACGAAGAGCAAGAGGAACCTCAGGCGGGGGAGATGCTGGCGCAGGTGCGTGGAGATCAACAGTATTTTCTGGAGTGAGAGTTGTGTCCACGGGATATGGATTAGATGGTGTAAGAGAAGACTCGGGTGAGGAAGAGTCAACAGAAGGAGAGGGAGAGATGTCAGGGAGATCTCGAAAGGAAAATTGAGGTGAAGAAGTGGGTGATGCAGTTGACGGGGAAGCATGATCAGTAGAGTGGAGGAAATTAAAGTCATCAGAAGCAGAATAATATGGAGAATCCTCTTCGAACTGAACATGACGAGATATATGAACTCGACGAGTTGCTGGATCATAACAACGATAACCTCGATGTTCTAAACTAATTCCTAAATAAACACAAGAAACAGCTCTGGGAGACAATTTATCACGTTCGTGAGATGGCAGAAGAACAAAACATCGACAACCAAAAATGCGAACTAGATCATAACGGGGAGGGTGAGTATAAACACGACTATAAGGAGTAGCACCGGAAAGAGAGCTAGATAGAGTGATATTAATGGCATGAGTCGCGGTGAGAATAGCCTCAGCCTAAAAACGACGAGGAACAATAGCCCTAGCTCTGATACCATGTTAAAGTAAGAGAGAGAGAATCTTGGGTAAATTTCCCTTGAATTGAATATTGAGTATGCACATATATTTATACAAGTAGAGGAGTGTGAGATTTGTTTTTTTTTTGGTAAATGAAAAATTTTATTCATCAACCAATATGAAAAGAGAATGTACATCAAGAATCTCATCACATTTGTGAGATAACAAATTTAGTATCTAAATCTCAATGAAACATTTACTAGAGCCGTAATACTATTTCTAACTTCTCCTATTGACTCTTCAACAAAGATCATAGGCCTGAAAACATGTATCAGGGATATCTGTTACAACCTGCACATGTATTCCCGCTGAGGTTTATCATGCCATGAGCCAGACACTCCTCTTATGAATTTCCCAGTGAAACATTTTCAGCTACTAATCCCCTGTTACATCTATAAGGAGATCAACCAATTTTTATTTTCTTCAGGTAGTCCACTGTTAAGAACTACTATCAGCAAGTCCAGCTTAATGTTTTTGATGATTTGCACAATAGTTTTGAAACTCTGCTTAAAAATCCTTCCATTGCGCTCCAACCATATATTGTAGATAGAGGAAGTGAGGGTCATTCTTTTAACATTGATCTTGAAAGCTTTTCTCCTTTGGTTTGCTTCATACCAGCTCATCAATTGATTCCAATCACAGCTTTCCAGTTGAATTGTAGCCAATTCATAACTCCATTCCAAACATCTCTCGAAAACGCACATCCAAAGAACAAGTGGTTTCGAGTTTCAGCTTCTGAACCTGCACACAGTGCACAGTTATTGTTTTGAATGACCCCTCTTCTCAACAGCTTATCCTGAGTTAGTAGTCTATCTTGGACTGCTAACCAAGAGATGAAAGAGTGCTTGGGGTAATTTAGTCTCCCCCAGATTGTTACATTCCATGGCACTCTATTTGTAGTGGGGATTAAGGCATGATATAAGTCTGACAAGGTGATTTTTGAGTTCCTGAAGCAGGAACTGATTAGGCTAATTAGATTAACCTCCCCTCCACAGTAATCCATAGCTTTATTTCTGATTTTCAGCAACTGCTTTCATAACCAGGAATCACTTCTTTTGATTTCTACCTGCCATATACTTCTGCTCCTGAGATAAGTGCCATGAACCCATTTGATCCATAAGAGCTCTTTATTAGTGTGTATATCCCATAGGGTTTTTAAAGCTGCAGCTTTATTCCATATGATTGAAGAAAAAATCCTCAATCCACCATACATTTTATCTGTGCAAACCCTTTCCCAGGATACCAGTGGAGTTTTGAAAGCTTGATCATTTTTCCCCCAAAGGAAATTCCTGCAAAGTTCATCCACCATTTGAAGCACCTTAACTGGGAGAACGTAACTGGATGTCCAGTATATTTGTATGCCAAGGATGACACTCTTGATGATCTGTAACCTGCCTGCATAAGACGATGTCCAGTATATTTGTATGCCAAGGATGACACTCTTGATGATCTGTAACCTGCCTGCATAAGACAAGTTCTTGAGCTTCAAAAATTCCTGGAACTGGTTAGTGATTTTGGTGAAGAGAGGGGAGCAGTCCAGGTAT